CGTTTGTTGTCCTCTTCTCCCTCTCTGCCTACGGTTTACCGGGCAGTTCTATTTGACGATATATATATATATATATATATATATATATATCGTTTGTTGTCCTCTTCTCCCTCTCTGCCTACGGTTTACCGGGCAGTTAATGTACTGGGCGGTTTTTTGGCCCGCCCGGTTTACCCGGGCGGCCCCCCCGGGCCCAGCCCGGCTGGGCGGCGTCCTCACTCAGTGTATTTGTACAAAATCATAGAGAATTAATGGATTCTCAAGAAAGTTCGTTTTTTGACGAGAAACGAGGGATGTCTCAGCATATTATGCCATATAGCATACTTGCATGCGGACGGACCGGACGAGCGTCCGGTCCGGTCCGCCGCACGTGCGGAACCACCCGGACGGCGTCCACTTGCAAGTATGCCATATAGCCAAAGTCTCTACCTTATTTCCCATGACTGGACGATTGCCCCAAGAATCGGTGCCAAGTTGCCAACCCTTCCCATCCATGTGAAGTTGTGAACTCTTGGAGAAGATCAGCTTCTTGTTGTTATCTAACTTTTATGTGTTGAGCGAAGGCCCTTTCTGGACCTTTCACTCGCTACGGTAACCCTGGCATTACTGACGCTCTTTGGGAAAACTGATTCATTACTTCGCTATCAGCGGGAAAGTGTAAATTCTGCTCGCGCACAGTTCCACGGGTACACAGCGCAAATCGGTACAAAGCAATTCTGTGGAGCTGTAAGTACCTATGGGTCCACAGTTCCGTGGGTGTGCAGTCCCAGGGGTACGCAGTCCTGTGGGTACGAGGTCCCAGGGGTACACAGTTCCATGGGTATGCACTTCCATTTCCATCGGTATACAACAATTGCACATGACATTGTCATGGGAGTTTTTGAGAAGAGGATAATCCGATAATGCATCTAATGATATCTTGTGTTTGTGGTCTGTGGTCTGTCGTCTGTGTTGTTGTCCTCAGCAACAATTCGAGGATGTTTTTGGGTTGAGGAGTACTTTGTCATCGTGTATAATATGATGGGAAACCGCTTCTGCGAAAACATTGGCCGCCAGCACAAAGGAAATAATGGTACGTTCTGCAGCACACTGTCCCCTTCACTCTTTTCCTCTCCCCCGTCACCTCCTGTTCATCCTGT